TGTCAGTCACTGTCAGTCACTGTCAATCGCTGTCAGTCAATCAGGATCCCATCCTTTCTATCTAGATCCCCTCCCTTTACCTGTGTAATTCCTCACCTGTGCTGGGATCGGCCCCAAATCCCCACCCTGGATCTGTCAGTCAGTGTCAGTCACTGTCAGTCACTGTCAATCACTGTCAATTGCTGTCAGTCACTGTCAATCCCTGTCAATCCCTGTCAATTGCTGTCAGTCACTCAGCATCCCATCCTCTCCATCTAGATCCCCTCCCTTTACCTGTGCATTCCCTCACCTGCGCTGGGATCGTCCCCAAATCCCCGTCCTGGATCTGTCAGTCACTGTCAATCCCTGTCAGTCACTGTCAATCCCTGTCAGTCACTGTCAATCGCTGTCAGTCACTCAGCATCCCATTCTTTAATCTAGAACTTTTCATATCCCCTCCCTCTACCTGTGCATTCCCTCACCTACGCTGGGATCATCCCCAAATCCCCGCCCCGGCTCTGTCAGTCCCTGTCAATCTGTCAATCACTGTCAATCTGTCAATCACTCAGCATCCCATCCTTTCCAGAATCCCATCCTTTCATCTAGAACCTTTTGTACTCCCTCCCTCTACCTGTGCATTCCCTCTCCTGTGCTGAGCTCATCCCCAAATCCCTTTCTCCCGCCACAGCCCCCCCAAATCCCATTCCTGTCCCCCCCTCCCCATCCTCTGTGCCTCAGTTTCCCCGCTCTAACCCCAGAGAGCCCTGGCTCTCTGCCAGTCACTCAGCATCCAGAACTTTCCACGCACATCATCGAGCGATCAGAGCCCAGGGCTCAGCCCCCCCCGTGCTGCACGAGTGTCCCCCCCGGGCTGGCCGGGGTCCCGGGGGTCCTGGGGGGTCCCGGGGGTCCCCGTCCCCGCGCTCACCATGTTGTACCAGGCGGTGACCAGCAGCCGCTCCTCGCGCTCCCGCTGCGCCCGGCTGCGCTCCCAGTCGCTCTGGGGGGGTTCGGGGGGGGCTCAGCTGGGGATGGAGACCCCCAGGACCCCCCCACAACCCCCAGGGTTAACCCCTCACCTCCAGGTGCCGGATCAGCGCGTCCTTCTCCTGCAGCTGGCTGCGCAGGAGCTGCAGCACGGGGGCCAGGGGGGGAGTCCCGGGGGGGTCCCCGGGGGGCGATGAGGGTTTTTGGGGGGGCGACCTCGTGGAACCTCGAAATGCTGATCGCACAGAGCGAGCAAAAAGGGAGGTTAGCCAGGAAGGAGCCCCAAAATCCTCGTGGGGAAACTGAGGCATGGCTCATCTCCTGCCCCCTCCCTCCAGACATCGCCCCCCAGGATCCCTGTATCCAACCCCCACTCTGGGGTACCCCAAAACTCCCCACACCCCGACCCCTCCCCAAATTCTGATGCCCACTCCAGACCCACTCATACCAGCCCTGGAGAGCTCCAGCTCTTCCTCCTCCTCCTCTTCCTCTCCCTCTGGCAGCTCATCCCTGGGGGGGCAGGGGGTGGTCATAGGTGGGGGATGCTGGGAGTGCCCCCCCAAATGCCCCCCACCCCCCAAAAACTCACAGGTCCTCGGGGGTCTCCTCCAGCAGCACCAGCTGGGGGGAATTGAGAGAGTTCAAGCTGAAACACCGAGGTGCCCCCAACAAAACCTGACCCCCCCAAAACACCGAGACCCACACAACGAACTGGGGACCCCCCCCCGCTGTTGAGA